AAAATCTAGGAAAAGGAAATATAATCACTGTTATCATCTCTGGGTTTTTTGTGGGTTTGTTTGTGGGGTTTGTGTTTTTTTTTTTTTTAATTTAGTGGCAGCGAAGTTACCTTGATAAAGGAGGAAATTGGAGGATGTGTCTCAGAGTGATCTTTTTTTACAAAGTAGGCTCAAGCTTTTTCTGTAGACATGGCAGTCCTTGGTTATAGAAGGTAACCAGCATCACGTTAACCTAAACAAAACTCAAAAAATCTAGGAAAAGGAAATATAATCACTGTTATCATCTCTGGGTCTTTTGTGGGTTTGTTTGTGGGGTTTGTTTTTTTTTTTTTAATTTAGTGGTAGAGAAGTTACCTTGATAAAGGAGGAAATTGGAGGATGTGTCTCAGTGTGATCTTTTTTTACAAAGTAGGCTCAAGCTTTTTCTGTAGACATGGCAGTCCTTGGTTATAGAAGGTAACCAGCATCACGTTAATTGCAAAATTATGGATCAGGAAACTCCTTGCAGTGTGTTCCAGGGTTTTGTCTTTAAGTGAGGAGCCATGATTTGTGTGATGGCATGTATCTAACTTAGGGTTTGCCTTCGGTACTGTTTCAGTACGCAAAATAGGTATAGGAATACCGAGAAGTAGTTTAATTCATGTGCAAAGCAGCCGGAGATGCTTTCTGAAGAATGCTAATCCTTAGCAGTTACGTTAGCAGTAAACCTGGCATATCCACGACAAATATTTAAATTTTTAAAATACTAGGCAGAATGGAAAACTTGAAGCACTCTTAAAGTTTGTTCAGACTTTAAATGTGTGCAGAAATTCTAGTTTTCTTGGTAATCTAATGCTTTTTCATATTGAAGCATGACATTTTAGGCTCCATTTCAGAAACATTCAGCTGCGTTACTAATGGACCCGTCTCTGACTCCCACTCACAGCGGTATTCAGGTGGGCACACTTCATTGCTAGCACAGCGTGAGGATATCATTATCTGTATGACAAATTTCACTTCACCTCAAAAGTTTTTCTTCTTTTTTTTTTTGGTCTCATATTTTATTACTAGGCAGATTAAATCAGCAAGCCAATGCTCTTAAGAAGGAACGGCTACAACAATAGTACTTTCTGACAGCTGTGGAAGTTTGGGGTTTTTTCCTAGTGCCTATGAAATGTGGCTATTACAGTTTCTTGCCTTATGCTAAAAAAAACACCACCAAAAAAAAAAAAAAAACCATGCAACCCAAATGAAAGATTTCTGTAGCGTGGCATTGCTGAAGCAATGATGTATACTCGGTCCAGATGGTTATTGGAGTGCTGGGTACATCGTGATGTTGTACATCGGTGAGCATGGATGGTTAGTCCCGTAGTCAGTGCTTATAGTGAGCTGTCATGGCAATAAAGTTGAGCACTTACATACAGTTGAAAATCTTCAGTGCTCACTGGGAATTAGGCTTTACAGCTCCTTTTCCCTAATGAGGCGGATAGTTTTCTTCTCTTGGAGACTGCTCATGTGTATGTGGCATGCGTTCGGGACAGCCCGGCAGTACAGTATTTGCATGCTTAGCTCTGGTTTGAGAGACTATGCAAACTGCCTCTCTGATAATCATCTTGATAAGGAGAAAAAGAAAAACAACGGGCATTTTTTCTACTCTTCCTTCATCTGCTACCTGTTTTCTGTGGAGCTGCCTGGTATTGGTTTCTTTGGATGAATGATCATTCACCTCCCTGCAAGAGATGCTTTTGGTAGGAATCAATAAGGATGAAGGGATATTCATGGTGTATTTTTATGGACATGTTTGTTGGGTCTCCAGCGCAGGGCATCGTCTGCAGTGGAGGTATCACGTTGGCTGGTCAATGTAAATGCACATTTCAGACCTTGATATAGTCAGGGAGAGTCCCCGCTAGAGATTTCCCCTTGAATTTCCACTTGAATATCCAGGCAAAGGCATCATAAGCTCTCTCTGGCTCCAGTTTGGGCTTTTCTCCAACGGGTATCATAACAACGCTGCTGCATTGCGAGTTGTGGCAAATGGCAGCATTTGCTTTTCTGTAGTGTGGCCATGCACGAATGGAGCTGTGCTGATGTTGGGCTGTGGCAACTTAGTTCAGGGTCCACAGAGGTACGATGGCAGCGTCGAGAGAGGTAAAGGTAAGAGGTGCAGTGCAGACTGCTGGCATTAGCAAGAACTGTTGCAGTGCTGGGTTGTTGTTGGTATGTACGGGGCATCATCAGGAATAAGATTTACATCTCGGCGTATTTTTCAAGGTAAAATATTTAAATACAAACAAAATTACTTTTCCTCGTAGCTTACACCTACATGCAGAGCATTCATTATTATTGAAAGCTAAGAGCAGAAAAGATGTAAAAGCATATTTTTCTCTCAGTGCTGGTGTTCTGTTCTTCTTAAATCTCACATAATATGGCCAAGCAGATAAGACAGATTGTTTTATTCCTTGCTATGGAGTTCATCCCAGTCAATAATATTGATTAGTGCAGGATGACTTGATGTAACAAGAATAACACCCCTGTCTTAGTCTGAGCCTGTATTTCCTAGTTCATGCCTCAGTAGTTCATGCTTGGATGAATTCTTCAATAAGTCAGTTAAGACACAGACCCCACTGTAAATTGCAGGGTCTGACATTAATAGGGGAAATGAATAATTTTCTTTTCCTAGAAGTCGCGCCTCTTTTTTCCACGATTAAACTGTCACATTGTGCAAGTTAACTTTTTAGAATGCACAATGAAATTCCTGAACTTTTATTTTTTTAAGAGCTACCTCTTTCTAATTACAATCAGTAAAGCTTTATAAACTCTGTTCTCAGCTGATTCTTTGTGCTTCCCGAGCCCTTCTGTTAGTGTAGGATTTATCAAGAAGCTTCATGTCCTAACGGTGCATTTGGGGAGCTGAGTCAGCTTGTGGAAGTACTGCGACTGCAGATATCCAGAGGATGGATGCATAGATTTCTCACTCCACAGGGAATTTAATATTGTCCCTTTTACCAGCACACCGAAACAGCATCTTTGAATCTACACCAGTGCTGTGAATTCTTGTACAAAACACTCCTGACCTGGAGGGACCGTTGAGGGTATGGAAGAACTGGTGTCACTGGCCTGCTTGGTCCTTGGATGTTGCTGCGAGGTTGCTAACAGGAGGGTCGATTAAATCAAGTCATCGAAGAGCTTTTTTTTGTAGAATGGTTGCAGGTGCCTAAAGCATATAAACTTCACTTTGAAAAGTTTTTTTTGTAGAATAGTTGCAGGTGATGGCCTAAAGCATATAAACTTCACTTTGAAAAGAAGATCAGGGTCACTTACTCATCGGTTGTGTTCTTCCTCTTAGACTTTCCAATTTGGAAACACTCTTCTTGTTTCGAGGCAGGCAGTTGTCAGGGTCAAAAAATTCAATAATCTGCTGGTGGTGTTTTGATTTCAAGTACTTTGTCATTTTCCTGCTTATAAAGCTATCATAATAATGTGATTAGGTTCTGTATTTATTATTATTCAATCATTAAGGAGAGTTCACATGCAAAATGAAAAGGACTTGGTAATATTTGGGATATACAGACTTTGCCTAAGTTCATATTTTGGGTTATTTAAGGTTCTTAGCCAAAAAACTTACTTGATAGGATTACTTGTCAGATGATAACAGCAAGATGATCGTCTGTGCTTTGTGACGAGGGAGCATGACCAAAATACAAGGGATTATGTGCTGAATTGCTGCTAATTTCAGAATGAGAGTTTTTCTGATGCTGTCATTTGCTTATGTGCGGGGCATCTGGCCTGTTCTCCTAAAAATGTTTTCTTCTGGAAGGGTTACGTGGACTTTGTTGCTATCAGGAAATGCGGGGGTTTCAGGAAATTGAGATTTGCCCTCCCCCCTTTTTTCTCTCTCAGTATCCTAATTTAAAGTATTTTGGTGTTAGGGGCTGCCTATGGAAGTAACTTTGGTTCAGATGTAATGACATGCAGGTGGGTGTTTCAGACTGGGCCTGAGGTGTACAAATAATGCTCTCTGAGCTTGTGTTTTACTACCAAGGAGTGTGCCAAACTCAACAAGTTTATTTTTCACGTAGCTGAGAGCCTGTTTGTACGCAACTGGAACTCGGGCAACAGAGACTTCTGCTAGGAAATTACAAGACTGTGTAGGACATGGACTCCTGAGACATCCAGACCCAGTAGTGTTAAATGTAATAAATAACTTAAAATGTCGTGTCACTGGCAATCAAAACCAAGCTACCTTCCAAGGGATTGAACGGTGGCAGCATCAGTCAGAGGTGCGGGAGCCTTCCATACAGCAATATGGAAACAGCAAAATTCAGTGAAGTGCTGCTTTTAAAACCCTTTCCAAGCGTGATGTGCTTCAAAATACATCGTATCCACATGGACAAGACCTTGAGTGTTTATTACACAAGGTGAAGGCCCGTGTGCTTTTGAGAAAGGATAATTTAAGTGTGTGCTCAGGTGCAAATTAAGAGCTGTTAGTTCAGTTTTGGGCTGTTCCAAAAGCTGCTCAAGTCACTGAAACTTCAGGCTGGAGGTCCCCATTTGTCAGTGGGGTGATGCTTTGAAGAACCGTGAGGCTCAAGTCTCTTAATGGTATCTGGGCATCTCTCATCTGTGAGACAGGTATCATGTTAGCGCCTCCGGGCAGTACATTGGACTTCAGCCCAACGGAAAAATTCATCTCATGTGGCTGGTAAACTCTTCTGTAGTTGAAACTGGGTCCTGTGCTGTAGGAGACCTGCACTTACCAGTCTTTCTGCAATACTGACGCTAACTACGGAAAGAGGAGCCTAACGTAATGTATAACTACTATCTGTATTGTTCCTACTGCATTAGGAGTACTTTATCTGAGCAGAAAGAGGATAGAAAGAGCATATCTTCACATTAATTACTGATCTTTCACCAGGAATGAAGCATTTACAGAGAGACCTAAATGTTTAATTATCACTTACTATCTAAAATTCAAGGGATGTTCAGATCTGTTAGACAACTTGTTTCATGTTATTTTCCAGGAGGACCAGATGATAACTTAATTGAAGGTGGCGGATCCAAGTTTGTCTGCAAACCAGGAGCCAGAAACATCACTATCATCTTTCATCCCCTCCTCAGGTAAGTAAGGCTTTTCTACATAAAGGTGCAAATAATTAGAATAAGTAGAATTAACCTATTTTATGGGCACATTGCCACTTCTGAGGTAACATCCCACAGCAATGGGCTTGCTGTAAAGTTGTTGGTATGCACACGTGTAAAAAGTAATCACTAGTTGAGCTTGTTGCTGATGCTCTTTAATCTTTTTCAAAATTAACTAGCATACCAAGTGGGATTGCTTGCCTGGGTGACCCCTTTTCATTGAACAGTGTAATTTATTATTGACCCAAGTTGGGAAAAGTTTAGTTGCAGCCTGTCACAAATTGTTTATCGCTGGCTGTCCGTTATGCTTATTAAAAAGTCAGAAGGATACTCTATGAACTGCAAGGTAAGTTCGTTCTTTGATAAAACAAGTATGGTCTACGGACTGCAAATTAAATGCCTGATCTAAAGTGCCGTGCCAGTTACTAAAATCTTAGAAATTCACAGCTCATCAAGGACTGCTGGAACTTCAAAACAGAGCAAGTCTATAATAAGCCTCTTCTCACCAAGTCACTCACCTCTGATACTTTAATTTTGCTCTCTTTACTTTGCAGTCTAACAGTTCATCTTCTTAGTTTTGCCAGAATTAAATAATAACGATGTTTTTCTCAGTTCATGTCAGTCTTCCACCTCTGCTTTTTCCTTGCAGGGTTTTCCTTTATTGTCAGACATGTCCTTTCCTATTCAGTGCTAGCACCTTTAGAGAGCATTTCCCTCCTTGGCTCTGTTTGTATTACTCACTATCATGAGTCACTTAGGCAACAGAGCATGTTTCTCCAGCACTAAAACCAAGCAGTGATAAAAAGTAATTGGAATCTGATCCCCAGCCGAAGGAATATTCTGACTGCCGTCTTGGTAGCTGAGAAATGTGGTCATTTGTGACTTCTCAGGACTTAAAAATGCAGAGGAAAAGTGCGTAAATTCCTCCAAATTTACATTTCTGATGTCATGACACTAGATATTGGAATAATCTTGAGGACATGTTAAAATTTTTTAAGGTTTTTCAGAACTTCCCTTGAAAAAAGGGTTGCGTACATTGTACACTCTTCATTTATCACTAGATGCCCATAATGAAATGGATAATTTCATAAGCGCGTTTTGTTTCAACCTGTCTCTCTTTTAAAATGGAAGCAATGTGCTAAAAATAAATTTGCCAGAGCATAATTTATAGTTTTCAGCCGTTTTATTATGAGAAAAGATGGACAGTGGTTAAGATGCAATATGCTATTCAAAGTATGACCACTATGATATGGACTTCAATCTCTTCATCTTTAATGAATTTACAGGCTTCTTTCAAGCACAGAGGGGGGCGGTGATGCTCTTATTTTTATTGATGAGGTACTCCACATTGATTTAGAAACTGGTGAAAATACTTCTTTCTTTTTACTTGCCTTCCTGCTTAATTTTTCCCCCTTTTTTTGCCATCCGAGTCAAACATGAGTGCTCTGCTTTAAATAGCACTTCTCACAAACACTTCACTTTCATTACCAGCTTGCAAGACAGGCAGTAGAAATAATTTGCTTCATAAAAAATAATTGCATCAAGATTAAGGTATCTGCGTACAATATATTTTTCATGCCAACCATCTGCAACATCTTAACTTCCTTGCATTGAGTAGTTCATCAATAACTGTGTGAAGAGAAAGAAAATACTCCGTGACCCAGCTTACCCTTTTCTCACTGCAGAATGGGGTGAGTTTGGGTGTAGGTGAAGACTGTAGAAACTTTTCAAATGTGATTTTACCTACCTTAGCGATCGACAGAGTAAATATCTGGCATGAGTCATTGCGCTCTCAGTTTTAACTCATGATCCTCAACTTCGGCATGCACATGGTGCATGGAATGCGGTGTATCTGGGATGACCATAGGACTGGATTTCTTTTGGTGATAATGATTCCCTACAGGGAATTCTGTTCCTGATGGGAGTAGATAGCAATGACCTGTCCTACCAGCAAACTGGCTTACCCATTGACTCCTGTTAAAATTGGCTGTATGATGCTGGCTGTGGTTGTAAAATTCTGAATATGGTGGATTTGCTGAAATACTGACTTTTGCAATAATTTCTAGCACATCATCTTATGTGTGCATTCCTTGTTGGTTGGATCTTTGTCACCCTTTTCTAGATGTTATTGTATTAAGTGTCAAGCTCTCGAGGACGTAATTGCTGCAGAGGTGTGAAGTTTTCACTTGCTTTATTTTCCATTTGTTGTTGAGATTCTTTATGGCCTGCCTCAATCATCTTTCATTGATGTCGCTTGTACAGGCTTAAAATGAATCTGTTTTGAATTCAAAATTATCAATATTTTATTTAGAAGGGGGTGGTGGTGTTATTTTTATCAAGTTCACATAAACATGTTGACAGAGAAGTTTTAGCACTGTATGGGCCAGCTGATTTTATTAGGAAGCTGAGTGCTTCTAAAAGTATTAAGCTAACTGGATCACTGAGAAACCAGACACTGGTGTGATGATTTAAAGCCTGAGCATTGCGCTAAGTGATGGCTTTAAAACATAATTCAGCACAGTAATGTTAGGTGGCGTGTTGTAACCAGAGCATTCATATTCATCAGTCTGAATTTCTCTTTTTTTGTACTACTGATATGAAAAGTGTCATTGTCTATCACATCAGAGAGTTGCACAATCACAGTGTTAAGTTTACTGGTTATAATAGCCTTTTTTGGGATCCTCTTTTATTTAAAAAATGAGGTTGAGCTTGGCTCCAGAGCCTTTTGAAGAACACAGAGTCGGCAGGCTTTCAGGGGGCTGTAAATTAGCCCCCATATCTCCAGCAATGAAAGTTTGTTTAGAGAAAGTCTTAAGTTACAACCATGGAGAGTGTGAGGGCAAATACATACGAATGGTTTTCAAAGTCTGTCTTCCCTCAAATTCATTTAGAGCAACGAGCCAGAGCTGGGAAGTGAGATGTTACGTCGTTTGGGATGTGGGTCCCTAATTTCCACTAGGACAACTGAGACGCACCAAGCCCCAGATTAATTACCAGGACTTAATGACACCACCACACACATAACAAATGAATAGTGAATTTTTGGAAGACAAGTGGGTATTCTAGCGGAGATGATTCCTGGGAATAGATTTTACTAACTACATATGAAAACTAATTGCACTTACAAATTGAAGAGGAATACACATCTGATTTTCCTTAATTACATATTGCGGGAGGTGTCAAAGTATAAAAGTTACCAAAAGAGTCCAGTTGCTTTCTTCATCCTTCGCTGCTAACCAGCATCTGCTTGGATCGTGAAAGCGCTGGTGTTACTGGTCTGTGGACTAACATCTCCCATTGGAGGAAGGAAACATGCGGGACCACTACTGAAGCCCTTCCGTTGTGGAATATTGAACAGCCTGAGTGATGTCTGTTGTAACATTTGTTTGGTGGGGATTTTTTTTTTTGTTGTTTATTTGTTTCAGCTGGCATTTGAAAGGCACTTGGCTCTTCAGGGTAATAATCATTTTACATATGCTTTATAGAGTATGTTTATTACCAGACAATTGAAGAACAGATGTCTGCAGTCTTGAGGCTTAAGGGGGAGGGACAGGAGGGACCGGAGATGGAGGGGATAATGGTGTTTTGAATCGTGAAAGCATCGCTGATGCTAACTCAGTTGAACGTTGTTCGGATATTGGGTATCAAGGCTGCAAGGGTATCCATTTATTAATATCAGCCACACTTCATTAAGATCAAGCAGCAATTAAAAGGGTTGTAGGATGGAAGAGAAAGCAAAAAGTGTTCATTGATTCGGAAGAAGCAGTCACTTCTAAGCAAGATCGTGTCCTTGTGAAGAAGTGAACTAGAGAGGCCAAATTGACTTGGCACCCTTTGCCTCTCTATCGAATGGGCCGTGTCTGTCTTAGGGGATCTCCCCCTTTGCCAGATGGGAAGAAGCTGCAACGTGTCAGTGATATTCTAATCGCTGCCTTTGATTTCAAAGTCTGGAGAGTAAGAAAGTGAAAAACAGTGCTGATTTATTAGAGTACCAAAAAAAAAAGGGAAGAAGGAAAGGCAAAATTACTGATTTGACTCTGCTGATGTTGTCTGAGACGCAAAGACTAAAGTTTAATGCTCAGGCATGTGCACGGTCCAAGGCATTGCAAAGTTTGCTAGTTCTTGGTATTTCAGATTGGTCAGAGTGGGGGGAAAAGAGCAGATAACAATCTGACATTTTAATTTAAGAATTAAATGATTATGTTCATTTATACTGGTCCCCATTATTTAAAGCAGTAGCTTTTTACCTGATAGCATTTTTGGAATTTCCTGTTTCTTTCTGCTTTGTTAATGGTAATAAAAGAGTGATTGCTCTTTTAATAAATAAAATAAATGCATTAGGGAATAATCAAGGACGATAGTAACTTACTTTTGCTGCCTGTTGATATCAGCGTGTTCCTCACCAACTGGTGGCAATCAGCTCTGAACTGCTGAAGGTCAAATTTCAGACTCCGTTAGTAACCTGTCCTTGGGAGGGAGGTGCACAACGTACAGAGTATGTACATACACGCAGGTACATATGTATTAGCAGTGATGTTTCAGCTTTCCATGCTTTGGGAATAATCGTGTCAAGCTTCTGTTTAATTCAGGATATGTCAAGATAAAAGGTACTGTATGTAGAATTTAAATCTTCTGTTTATTTTGAAGATGTTGGGAGGGGATGGCAAAGTTGTCATCGGTTCCATGGGGCATCTAAGTCCTTTGCGAACATCAGCTGCTGCTGCAGCTGAGCAGTGTTCATATCTACCTGACTGTAATTGATACAAAACTATGTATATGACTAAGAAACCCGGTGTACCTCGGTGATAATCCCTTTTATTAGTATATATGTACAGCTATAATAATAAACAACTAATTTGATTTTAAAATATGCTGTAATATCTTGTAGTTGTGTACTATAAAATTAATATTTGATACTATGGGGAATGTGCTATTTGGGAAGCAAAAGGAGCGTGAAAATTAGATTAGTTTGTTAGTTA